CGGTCTCGTTCATTTCGCCGATTCGAGTTTAGAATTCGAGTTTTGCTACAGTAAAAAGCTATCAGAAACAGTCACATCTAATTTTTTTGCTACAGTAAAAAGCTTTCACACAAAATCACATCTAAACTCGAATTACAAACTCGAATCAACGAAGTGAACAGACCCTAATTGATTTCAAGTTTCAGCCATTTTTTTGTTATTTATTTCTTTCAACATTTATGTATACATATAATACTTATCTTCTTCTGGAACTGGATTTAACCTTCTTATTTAAATAAATTGTTTCTATTTTTCTTTGTCTTTTGCTGTAGCAATGATGATGATAAGCAATTTAAATATTTTGAACTTTACATAGGTTGTCTAAGAATTATTGTTAAAACTTTTTTAGTATTTTCACTACGTTTTGGCTCTGTTCTTTTTACCTCTTTTTTTCGTCTCTTTTTTTTTTTGGTCTTCATTATTTTCTACTTATATTCTGCTATATTTGGCTTCTTGGTAATATTTGGTCATTAAAAACATATTTATACATATGTTACTTTTATCTTATTTTAGCCTTTACTATTATATTTATTTTTTGTTCTTGTTCTTTCTTATTTGTTAGTAATTTATGAAATATGAGATTTAAATTAGAGATCTCATTATCTCTGTTGTTCTGTTTTTGCCTCCTTTATTCTTAACATTTTACTTCCTTCTTTCTCTAACACTTTTTATATCTACAGTCCTGGGACTTTAATATTTTTTTCTTGCTTTATATTTTAATTTCACAGTCTTCCCTTCAGGTATTTGTTTATTTATTTATTTATTTTTACTAAGTCTTTCTAGTAATTTCTGTCCAAATAAGGTATTCTGAGCTATTTTTCACTTCTGTTTAGTGACTGTTTTTTGCTTCTTTTTGTTTCAACTGGTAGTTCTTGGACAACCGTCAATGGACTGATGTTTTTATCCTTGGTCCCTTTTTTCAACGACTTTCTTTTGCTCAACCGTTTTGGTCATTTGTTATAATCTATGTGACATACAATTACCGTAAGTGTTTTTCTTTTAATTAAAAACATTTACAACGGCAGCCACGAAAGAACTATAAATATTTGAGAACATCCACGTTCTATCATCACCAACAAAATTATCAACTGGAGCAACAAAAGATCCACAAAGATAAATCAAATTTACTATTTTATATCAATTATATATAGCAAGCATTTATATTATTTTAAATAGAATTTTAAACAAAATTTTTTTGTTTTTGTTTCAGCCCACAACTAATACTAACACTACAGATATTAACACCTACCACATTTGATGCACAAACTCCACAAGAAATCAAGCACAAAGTAAAACATGTTCAGTATAACTAATATTGTCCAATAATTTATATATATATAT